CAAATGATTAGTTTGCATTTGAAATTACTTCTATCTTAATATGTCATTGCCATTGTGTATCCGTTCCTCCTTCCTGTCCTCTCAAACTTGGTGCTATATGTATATAAACTCAACTGAATTGGATTGAATTGAATTAAAGCAATGACAGTAGCAACAAAAAACGATTTCATTGACATTTTCATGCACATTTGTTTATTCTGCCTAACATACATTGTAAACTAAAACATGATTTTTAGACTCAAGTACAGTGAAACACATACATTTTTTCCACTGGTTTCCTATTGTCCATCCATCCATCCATTTTCTTTACCCGCTTATTCCATTTTGGGTCACGGGGGTCGCCGGTGCCCATGTCCAGCAATCACTGTGCGAGGGGCGGGGTACACCCTGGACGGGTCACAAGTCCATCACAGGGCCACATAGAAACAAACGAGACAAACAACCATTCACTCTCTCACTCACACCTAGGGACAATTTAGAGTTACCAATCAGCCTAACATGCATGTTTTTGGTCTGTGGGAGGAAACCGGAGTACCCGGAGAAAACCCACGCATGCACGGAGAGAACATGCAAACTCCACCCAGAAAGGCCCCTGGACCGGGGTTTGAACCAGGGACCTGCTCGCAGAGAGGCAGCAGCTCTACCAGTTGCGCCACCGTGCTGCGTTTCTTATTGTCGTCTTGATTAAAAATTTCTTGTTAAACCACAGTCTTAGTTTGGTTGATTTGGGTTTGATGATGTTTGGACTTGACCCTTTTGCTTCAGTTTAATCAGTCTAATTAGAAGTGCGTCCTGATCATTTGAATGAACTCTATAAAACAATGTTCTTTTGAACTTAATGTTCATTTTAAGATTACCAGTGTGGCTCACACTGTTGCTCAAAAATGTCCTTGTTTTTTCAGCTCCAAAAATAATCACTGACTGTCAGATCAAGAATAATCCTTAAAGCAGCATCCATCCATCCATCCATCCATCCATCCATTATCTTTACCCGCTTCTTCCTTTTCGGGTCACGGGGGTCACTGTTACCCATATCCAGTCATCACTGTGCAAGAGGCGAGGGGCACCCTGGACAGGTCTCCAGTCCATCACAGGGACACTTAGAGACAAACGAGACAAACAACCATTCACTCTCTCACTCACACCCAGAGACAATTCAGAGTTACCAATCAGCCTAACATGCATGTTTTTGGGCTGTGGGATGAAACTGGAGTACTCGGAGAAAACCCACAAATGCACGGAGAGAACATGCAAACTCCACCCAGAAAGGTTCTGGGATGGGATTTGAACCAGTGACCACTGAGAGGCAACATACCAACTGCTCCACTGTGCTGCCCCCTTAAAGCAACAGTTCATATCATTTTAAGTGAAATCATCTGGAAATGTTTGAATGATAACATCTGATGCCCATAGCACTTTGGACAACCTGAATTTAAAGAAATATAATTTACTTGTGACTGAATAATGTGTTAATAGCTAGTCTGAGTGGGACAAAGACACAAAGGGAATTGCTGGTATCACTAAACAACTCCGTCTCAAACATTTTGTGGCAGTATTGCTATTTTATACACATTTACATCACTGTCAGTCTCACAGTTCACACATATTTAGATCAAATGTCATCGTTTTTAGCGAGCAGAAATAGCAACAGCAGCAATAATCCATCCATCCATCCATCCATCTATACATCCATCCATCCATCCATC